ACCTTCAGAACACGGCCAAAGAGCCCGAAAAACCCACCACAACCATTAAATCCCGGCCGTGAAAGCCTTCGCAAATACATTGTTACTTTTCAGTTTTCCTAATTAGTTTTGGATTTGTTCCTTTATTGTTTCGTAGAAGATAGTTGGTAAAACTAAGGACTCTTACCTTTCAGTTTTCCTAATTAGTTTTTGATTTGTTCCTTTATTGTTTCATAGAAGATAGTTGGTAAAACTAAGGACTCTGCTGTATGGTTAAGATTACTAAATGAAAGATCAGGGTTGCAGCTCTGCAGTTGTTAAAATCTTGATGCCATTGCCTTTTTATGATATGGTTGCATACTGAGCAGTCTGTTCCCCAAATGAGGCAGATGAGTTTAAAATCCATCACTCTTATGTATCCAGTGAGACATGAGAGCTTTTTGATCAGAGTGGGGTGTAGTTATGGTCTTTAGATTTTTCCATTCATTTGCTTTTACTCACAGAAAGGTTTAATGACATAAATTCCTTTCTAGCACCTTTCTTCTTTAGGTAAATGAGAAATGATCATATTATAACCGCATGATGTTTATATGAGACACAAACATAGAATTTAGAGCCCTCCTGGATCAATCCAGAGGCCAGTCTCATTCAGAATTCTATTACTGTACCCGTAGTGGTCAATCAATTGACTGTAGAATGCACAAATAGGTCATGAGGTCTAAAGAGAGACAGGAACATTTTTTAAAAAATTAATTTTAAGTAACATGTTAGCATTTGTAATTACTTTTAGAAAAAGCAGCTCATCGCTTTTCGGTTACTGCATTAGTAGCGCAGCACTTTTTAAACAAATTTATTTAAATTCAACATACAAAAAACCAAAACAGAGGGAAAAAAGAATAAAAAAACTAAACTAGGCCCTCTATTAAAGCAATTCACTAAAATATTTTAAATATCATCTTCCAAAATGACTCAGAAAATGTAATTTATTGAAATTACAGGTAAAAGTTACTCATTGCATTTCAGATTATGACTACTGCCCTGTTTCCCCGAAAATAAGACCTAACCTGAAAATACCATAAGCCCTCGTATGATTTTTCAGGATGCTCGTAATATAAGCCCTACCCCAAAAATAAGCCCTAATGAAGTGAAACTCTGCCTTCAACCATTGTCCAGCAACCAGAAGAAGATGACATGACTGTATTTGAATAAATGTAGATAGCTGTACATGAAAAAAATAAAAATCCCCTGAAAATAAGCCCTAATGTGTGTGGGGGGGGGGGGTTGAAGCAAAAATTAATATAAAACCCTGTCTTATTTTTGGGGAAACAGGGTATTAGCCAGAGTACTTTTTCAAAATAAAACATTTGTGATGTCTTTACACAAGAAGTAATGCATTGTGCTACTTGCAACATGTTTGCTTTGGAATTAATAAGTCTTCCCACTCTTGTGATCCAGCAACAGTTGTTAAGAAACATGCTGCTTCCAGCATGGCATCATGGTGTTCCAGTGGCATCTTTCATCTTGCCACTGCCACCAAAAGGCTGCTAAAAACCCATTTTAGCCTGGGAGAGAAGGAGGATGTTGAAGAGAGTGAATAGGTTGTCCGGCATCTAATATCCAGTAACATTCCCCTCAACTTCCGATGTATAGTATAACCTTCCCTGAGGAGAGAGGAGCTTTGAGAAGCATACCTATTTCATTTCTATAGTTTTTATGTAAAAGGTTTTCAAGTTCTCCCAAAAAAAGCAATGCAGAAATACCTCAAATAAAGGAAAATACAATCATCAGTAGCAATGTGTAGCTTTGTTTTTGATGAATGCATCTCGAACAGTCTAAGCTGGTGGTCATCATCACATCTTGTGGAACTAAGCTCTATAATATTCACTATCAATTGTGTGAAGAGGTACTATATTTTGTCAAATTTGAATGCCCTGAATCTTCCTGTTTCAGCTCCATTGGCTGACCTCAGATTTTGATACTAAGAGTGGGAAAGAAGCTTTCTCTAAGCCATGGATAATTTAATACAGTATACCCCAGAGTGTTATGAAATAGACCTAGTAAATTTTCTGACACCACTGTCTGTCTACATGCTGTCATTGAAATTTCATTATGCATTAGCATCAGATTTTGCTTTCTCCTTCCTTTTTAGAGTAAAACTCACCCTTGAAGGCTTGGAAGAGGAAGGTGAAGATGATGAGGATGATAGGCTGTCACCTACACTTCATCATAGAATGCCGAACACATTAGAGATTTCACTGATAAGTGACACCGAATTCAAATCTCGGCATTCTCAGCCAGAATGTGGTTATGGTCTACAGCCTGACCGGTGGACAGAATACTCTATACAGACAATGGAACCAGACAATTTGGAATTAATCTTTGACTTTTTTGAGGTGAGGGCTTAGTTATGTGAGAGAATGTATCTTTCTGTCTGACAACAGACAATGTACAATGTCTTCAGTTTTCTAAAATACGTAGTCCATTTTACTGTGTGACTTAATCTTTCTGTTGGATCACTCATCAAATTTCGGGGTTGCAACCACCCTAACACAATTACAGATAGGAAAGTGGAAGAAGAAGAGAGAAGAAGGAAACCTTGCAAAGGATAAGAAGTTTGCTCTCCAAGAATGAAAATCTTATTAGATTCCCCATCATATTTATCTGGCAAAAGGCATGTCTGAATATTACTGCTTTCTGCCCCACCTCTGCACATGATGAGACAAGAAGCAGTCCTCAGGCTAATATGTTTCCTTCTCTCAGCACATTTAGAAGACATCTAAGCTGGGAGATCCTGCAGTTATTTGAATGTGATCTCCTGTACCATGGCTATCAAAACCGAGTTCTCCAGTGTCTTTGTTTCGTCGAAGCCTCACTTAGATACATCATGAGGCTTTTCAGTTGTGGTGGCAGTCTCCAAACCTTCTCGCAAGTCTTTGTCTTACAACAGTGTTCTTTCATTGAGTAGTACTTCCTTCGTAAAAAAATACATGGAATAAGCAGTAAATACTTGTCCATTATACATTCACTGGTCTTCTCTTTCTTTGGTATTCTCATCTCCATGTACATATTTTGCCATAAGAGGGTGAAGAAATTCTTCATTTATATTTTTTGTTTGTGTATTTTCCCCCCAATTTGCTCCCTTACAAATACAGGCTTCCAATACTGTATTACTCTATTGAAGCATGGCATTGATTATAAACATGCTTCTGTTTCTGGGGATATGAAGTTTGCAGCAAGACTGGGTCCCTGTGAATTAAACAAAGGAACTTTTGAGTATAAAATGGACTCGATGAACTCAAATGTGTAATTATATTTTCTTTTGCTTTGTTCTTTCTCTGTCTTTCATTTGCAAGAGTATAGCTGAGAGGAATGTTTAGTTTCCACTTCCAAAAACATGGCAGTGATCTAAAATATCTAAACATATTTTTGTATTCTTAGGAAGATCTTAGTGAAGCAGTGATACAAGGAGATGCACTTCCCGGTCATGTGGGCTCTGCGTGTCTGTTGTCATCCACTATTGCAGAATCAGGAAAGAGCTGTGGTATCCTCACACTTCCTATTATGCACAGGATTTCACGAAAAACAATTGGGAAAGTTCGAGGTGTGTTTAATGCAAAATGTGGTGGTCAACACAAATGCAAGCCTTAATCAAAATTCATTCCCTTCTATTTTGTGATTTGAAATATTGGGGTGGATCCAGGTTAGCACCCAGCAGATTTCTTCTCATCCTGAGCAGTGGAGCAAGGAGAGGATGCCAGCGATTTTCCCCTTTCTCTTTTACCTTCTGGAAAGCTGCATGAGAGGATTGGAGGCTCTTTAGAGCACTATTAATTGACATGGGGAAAGGGGGGGAGTCAGCAAATATTACATACCTTCCCAGTATGTGAACCTCTAGTGAAACACCTCTGCTGGATTCGGGCCCTTTTGGTGAATGAATGGAGTCCCTCTGTTTGCAGAATGGGTAATATGGGTTGAAGCTCAGGTGCAAGGAAGTTTGCAAAAACAAAAAAAAAATGTTATCAAAAGTTACAGATCACACAAAAAAAATGCTGGGTGTTTATAAATTACATTTTAAAGGTGCCTGTTTGTTCTATATTAGCTACGTCATTTCCATCCAGTTGATTTAAATGATAATTCTCTGTAACAGATGAAATGCTGTTTTAATTAGAGGAAAATGCTTTGACAACCAAGTGGCTTTCTTTCTTTCTTTTTTTAGTGGACTTCATAATTATTAGGCCAATTCAAGGATATTCCTGTGATATGCAAGCTTCATATGCTAAATATTGGAGATCAAGAAGAATAGGGCTAGATGTTGGGCACAGGGGTGCAGGAAACTCTACAACCACTACCAAGTAAGTTTTCAGAGTTGAATCACAATGAATTCTAATTTGGGAGACCGCTTTGGGTTTGGAAAGAAACTTTTCTCCCTCGTCCTGAAGCTTGGCTGATCAGCGTAGATTGAAACACTAGAGATTGGATACATAATATCAATTCAGATTAAGAAAGGCCGTTGTCTATAAAAAACAATTGTGTTTTGGCTCAAATGTGTCTTGCTCCAGAATAAGTGTCAGAGGGTTCTCTCAAGTGTGATAGCAGTAGCAACTATATATGCCAAAGCAGTCAGTAGGAACATAGAGTGTTTCCGTATACTCAGTCAGATGTTTGGTTGTTTCCTAGCCAAGTATTGTCAAAACAAATTGTCCATGGCTCGCTATGGTTTCAGGCAGGGATTACATAAAGACACCTAGAAACTTCAGCATGTACCACAGCCCCTTTTCATAGTCTCACCGTCCAGCAAAGATCCTCCATATGGTGGCCATTTTCGCTGCCTGTATAGTGAGGAATCCGTCCCTAAACACAGTGGGGAGCCATTTTAAGCACCCGGTGGCCATTTTGAAACCCCGACGATCAGCTGTTTTTGATCGTCGTAAACGAAAATCGGTTCCCGAAACAGGGAACCGATCATTGCTAAGCGAAATTTCCCCATTTAGACCATCGTTTTGCGATAGCAGTTGCAATCACAAAAAGATTGTCGTAAAGCAGATTCGTCGTAATGCGGGGCAATCGTTAAGCGAGGCACCACTGTATTTCCTTAGTATTTATCATAGACAAATGTGCACTATGAGTTAAATGGAGAAAGCTGGACCTCAGAGGAACCTGACCCACACTTAGTTGCTTCCAGAACGTTTCTCCTCAAATAACTTAATAAATGACAAACTCTTAAATGTGAAGAGTGGAGAGGTTTCCCTTCTCAAAACCAGCATTGTGTTGGGATTTCTGTGTATAAGATGAAAATTGTGGAAATGGCCATGATTATTTGTTGAAGTGACTGACCAGGCACAAGGCTGGGGACTTGCCAAGTCACTTCTGCAGCTTCATTCCATGCTGGTTAATTCCAACAGGATACCAAATAACTTAACATTATTTTAAAATCTCCTGCAATAATCCTATTTCCTGATGACGATCAATTGTTAATTGACGGTTGCCAACTGGGAATAGTCATTTGAGGCCTGTGAACATTCCAGTTATGGTTCATCATTTCCTTCAAGCCTTGTTATGTATAGTGGTTCTGCTTTATTAGTGCCAAATGTATCTTAGGTTTGACATCTGCTTTGATATTGGTAGAGGTATTTCCCTTGTTGCTGTTTGTGTTGCAGATGCATAATTTGTGGTTTGCTGGCTTGTCTGCTTCTGTTTTTATGTGAAATGAACTTACAATTTGTATCTTGATTGTTTTAAATAAGAAAAGAAATGAAAACATCCCCCTCCCCCCTTTTTGTTCCCAGGCTAGCTAAACTTCGAGAGAATACTGTTGCTTCCTTAAAGAATGCAGCTAAACATGTAAGTTTATAATGTTTTTACCTCTCTCTCTCTCTTGCTCTCTGCGCTTCTCAATTGTCATTTTTATATGAAAAAAGTTTATGCTTCATAGCTTGAAATCTGTATCCTGAAATAGACTTTTTGATGTAGCCTTGTGTAACCTGGCTGAAATCCAGAATTTCGTATGAGCAGAATTCTGATGATAGAACATTCCCATTGGAGGAAGAAGAAGAGGAATTTTTGAACAGATCCTCCATCTCCATGCAAACTTGTTTGGAACGGCTAGGCTGTCTTCCAGAAGAATATGTGTAGCGATGTGCTAGAAAAAAGAACTAGTCAAAGTTGCTACCTCCACCCCCATTTCCTCCTGTAAGAGCCTTTTCCCGCAATTTTTCCATGAATATGAGGGGCTCTTTTTATTATTATTCATGGACTAGGTTATTTTTAGGTTGCTTTGGTAGGAAGACAGAAGAAGCCTCTGGTTCATAATAATTTGTCAGTGGGGGTGGCTGAAGCATCAGGGCAATCAGAATTTTTAGACTGGGTGAGGCAAAGAAAGATTATTACATGCATTAGAATCAGTATGTTAGGAAAGTAAGAACTTAGGAGTGTTCTGTTCTATATGATACAATCATCTTTATTAAATGCTCTAAATTTGGACTTTATTCAGTGATTGGGGCATTAAATTCTGGTCAAAATCCTGTTGCTTAGTGTACTAAATCGTACTAGAGTAGATTCACTGAATCAATGGAAATTGAGTGTTTCAGCACCTCTGTAAGCTCAATTCATTCAAATGATCTTACTCTAACTATGACTTACTGTGCTATGCTGAGGAAAGCCACAGTTAGAGTAGCTCATTCAGATCAATGGAATTTACAGAGAAGTTGACCCATCCAACCTGCATTGATTCAATGGACCCACTTTAGTGTTAAGTGCTACACGGAGCAACAGGATCATATTTTGTCCATAAAGTACAAACTAAGCAACAGGATACCAGCAAAATGTTTATAATGCCATTGCTATACAGTTACAGTGGTGCCTTGCTTGACGACGTTAATTCGTTCCAGCGAAATCACTATAGAGCGAAAACGTCGTCAAACAAAATTTTAAAAAACATTGAAACGCATTGAAAACCGTTCAGTGCATTCCAATGGGCTGAATACCTGCTCGTCCAGCGAAGATCCTCCATAGGGGTGGCCATTTTCGGTGCCTGTAGTGCAAAAAATCAGTCCTAAAAACAGCGGGGGGCCAATTTATTCAGCTGACGGCCATTTTGAAACCCGACTATCAGATGTTTGCTGATCGTTGTAAATCAAAAATCAGTTCCGAAGCAGGGAACTGATCATCGCACAGCAAAAAAACACACCCATTTAAACCATCACAAAAGCGATCGCAAAAACATCAACGTTAAGCGGATTCATCGTTAAACGGGATAATCGTCCAGCGAGGCACGACTGTACTGACCTTGCATATTTTAAAGACTAAATGCTTTTGTCTTTCCTTCTTTTTCTGGTTTAGGGAGCAGCCTTTGTGGAATTTGATGTACACCTTTCCCGGGATCTCATCCCCATCATATATCATGATCTTACTTGTTGTATTGCTATGAAAAAGGTATAAAATGTGCATTTTATGTTCCTTGGCTAATGAAAGTAACTGCAATTTTTCCTGTCTTATAATTTTGTGTTCTTTGGTTGAAATCCAGGAGTAAGTCACAGTTAGAATAAGCCTAGCTCATTGAATCTGGAGGTTTGGTGAGTCAACTCCTCCATAAGTTCCAGTGATTCAGTAGGCCTACTGTAGTTACACTGTACTACTGGATTTCATACATTGGCTGTTAATTAGGGATTCTTCAAGGTTAGACAAAAAGTACTGTGCCAGTGCGATTATTGATAAATGTGTGCATGTTTCCACCAAGATTTCCCCCCTTCCTGGTGGGTGTTCAAAGGGCAATGTTGGTGTAGACTCTTTAACCTTGATCCATAAAGATGGAACATTTTAACTCCCTAGATTGATATTTTGTTGCAGAATTTGTACAGATCTAGATCTATGCGATGGGCATTTTACAACATTGTAAACTGAAAACTTGTAAATAATGTATCCAAATTTAAGGAAGTTATTGTTTACAAACACGGGGGTGGGCGAGAACCAAAATCAAAACAAATTTGTCCCAACATACTTATTTGCTGCTGTATATGTATCCCAGCCAATAGAAGGTATTGAGTTAAATATGGCTTATGTCACTTTTTGTGAACTAAGATGCAGAGAGAAAAAAATAAAATAATCAGATTGTCAGTAAGTTGGCCCTATTTAAGCCTCAGAGATCTCAGTACAGGAGATGTAAAACCTATAAATGCAATACTAACTACTAGGCGTATTGCAAATCTTAATACAGTACTGTACACTGAAGTTGTTATAAGATCAGAAAACATGCCAGTACTGTATTTATTCAATGTAAGATTTTTTTAAATGCAGATTTGAGTTAATATAAAATACTTTATTTATGTAAAAATTTATATACCGCTTCTCTGAAAAAGGATCTAATTTCAAAATATTGATAAGAAACAATATAACAGTTAACAATAATAAATACAATATTAAAAGATAGTTAAATAACATAGGCATCCTTCAGTCTCGAGAGACTATGGTAACATGCTCTGAATCGAGGAGTGTCCTCTCCAGAGCATGAAGCCCGGGTAAGGTAATATGGAGGATAGGCTGCTACCCAAGCAGCAGATCCCCCCTCTCCACATTGCTGAAATGGTCCAATGGAAAGGCAAGAGCCAATACGACTGGTTCCAGCAACGTCGCAGGAGTTGGCAGAACGACATGAGCTGCCTTCGGGACTCCAGCTCCGGATTTTGCCTCGAGGTTAACTCCTGAAGCCTTTTCCATGAGTGGATATAGCCACAAGGCAGTGGAGTTTTGAAATCGGAGTTTTCCTTCTCCTAGATGGGCTGCCTTCCATGGCTGACGAGCCCCACCTACCCGGCCTGCTCTTTAATAGTGCAAAAGTATGATCTGATCCTTAAAACTTTCCTAACTCCCCGGCTTATGCACATCTAATTGGCTTTCCTATTTACCATATTAAGGCCAGATACAAAATTTGAGAATTACGTCCTGGGACATGCTCTTTTACAGCAGGAAGTCCCACCCCTAGGCCCCACCCCCAGGCCATGTGGTCAGGAGACAAAAGGAAAGCCCAGGAAAAAAAAACAAAAACTCAGCATGGCATCCATGCAAACAGACCTGGCCTTCGCCCTCAGCCCAGCCCAGTTAAATAAATACATATTAAAATGAGTAGATAAAAACAATAGTAAGAACACATTAAAAGCAACAAAAACACTACAATCCTTTTTATTTTTAAACCCTCTTAGGCAGCTAGTTACTAAGCCCAGGAATGGGCACAGCTGGTACATTAGTTCTAACTGTAAAAATGCACTCCTGGCCACCACCAAAATATGCTGCTCACATGTGTTTTCAGGGGGAGTGTAACCCCATCCAGCTCAGGCTGCTTCCCTGTTTCCTTATCTGCCTTTTAAGGAGCACTTCTGTCTGATTGAATTTTAGTTTATTCACCCTCATTCCAGTCCATTACTGACATCAGGCACCAATCTAAAACCAAATCAGCTTCATTGGATTTAGATATCAAGTAGCAAGCACCTGTGTTCCACATGAAGGTTCTTTATCTGTCTCATTTATCTTTAAGCATGCATTCAAAGTATTTTGAGGAGTTTCAAGGGAATCTATAATGTTTTCCCTGTGCTGACACTGGAGGACACTTTTTTTTTCATTTTCTGACTTGTTTGCCACTTTATATGGAATGGATCAAGTGGCTTTAAATTGTAATCAAAACATATTGGCAGAACTCCTGCTTTGTCTAAAAGTAGTGGAGTCTGAGGATATATCCTTAAATGAAAATTGGCATTTTCCAGTCTTTTGTGTGTGTGTATGTGTGTAAAACACAAGCACACTCATGTAGAAGCACATGGATCTGAAGTCTTCAGAGCATTGTTATTTGTAAAAGAAGAATAGTTCTCTTTAAGCTGGTAGTGATATTTAGACTAGGATGCTGCCAGGTTTATGGTCAAAGAACTTTTAGGAGTGGTGAAACAAAATGCTGAGCATTGATCCAGAGATCCACAAAAATAAACAGAAATGGCTTCTTTGCTGTCATATTCAGAAGTGATTTGGCATGGGAATGGAAAACATTCCTTTTCCTTGTCTAGCAGCTGTACATTGGGGTGATGGGAGGCTTCAGTCCCCCAGCCCTTCATGCCATCATTTTTTACCATGGGAGTGACAAAGAGATGTTGTCCTGTATGAACATATTTATTGCAGGATGTGGGGGGTGGGCTTCTCTGTTCCTCCTGCATAAAAGCTTATTTTTCTGTAGAAATGGTTTGGGGGAAGAGGAATAGAATGGATAGTATCTCTTCTGTTTCCTTTACAGCAGGGGTCCCCAACATTTTTCACCCCGTGGATCGGCTGGGGAAGGCGGGACACCCCCAATGCTCATGCGCACGCGCAAACAAGCGCTCACTCTCTCGCACAAATGAGTGCATGCTCGTGCGCATGCGCAAACAGCAGTGTGACGCTTGTGCGGGCGCACTCTTGTGAGCATGCACAAACGGCAGTGCGGTGTTGTCTGGGTGCGCTTGCGCTCGTGTGCATGCACAAACGGTGGCACAGTGCTCGCACGGGCACGCTGGAGTGCGTGAATCAGCTGTCCGGGGGTGAGTGCATGCGGGGGATGGGGCGGAAGATCTGTGTTGGGGACCTCTGCTTTACAGCACAGTTCTATATGTGAGACAGACAAAATTTATTCATTCTGGGACTAGTTGTCTTATCATGCGAGGGTCATACCCTAACATTCAATGGCAGCAGGGGAGGAAACACTGCTTTATAATGCTCGCTTTAAATGGCATCTCCTACTTGCTGCTGGCATTCCATGGTTAGGTTTTTTGGGGTTGCTGGTGGAGAAATATGAAAACACTCATACCTACATCTGTTACTTGCTCACTTAGAAGTAAGTCCTGTTATATTCACTGAGGCTTATGCCCTGAAGATCATCCTGAAAGAAGATGTTTCAGAGTTCATTACCTTTCTGACCTTATCCTTTCCCCCCATTTCCTTAAAAGAAAGATGATAATGAACCATTGGAACTGTTCGAGATTGCAGTCAAAGAGCTCACATTTGCCCAGCTGCAGTTATTAAAGGTATTGTCTTATTATCATCCATTTTTCAGTGTTTACTTTAGAAATTTGTTGGCGGCCCATATTTAAGATTTTTATCCTGCCTAACAAAGGCCTGTTAAGTTATAAAAGTGTACGGTATGAATTCCAGAGCCAAGCTGATAACCACACTAAAAAGTAAAAGCATTTTTAAAAGGGCCAGAATTATCTGTTAATTGGAGTGGTTACCTTGGGAGCCATAGTAGGCAGAAAAACAATGAAAAAATGCTTTAAATAAAATAAGCAAACTTACTTTGTGTGCTGAAGAATCCATGTTTTAATTGTCCTGCTGAATGCCTGAATAGCTGTCCTCAGAATTTGGCAGGGTACAGCTTGCCAAAAACAAAACAAAACAAAAAGTTAAGCATCACAAATTACAGAATTGCTTATAGGCTGAACTTGAGCAAATGGAAAGTAATCTTCATTTTGCTTTAGGCAGTGAACAGTTTTATTTTAAGCCAGAGTGAAGCCCTATGAAGGAACTGTATGTGAAATATATTGCTATTTCCTGTTAACAAAGCTTTTCAAACCATCTATTTAATTTCTTTTAATAGCTAGCCCATGTGACTGCGCTGAAATCTAAGGATAGTCAAGGTAGGCTGAAGTCTTAAAGTCTTTTTTTTTTTACCTATTATATTCTGATTATGAACCAGTTCATGAACATAGTTAATAACTGAACACATCCTAGAGTACTGCTTAATTACTTGGCAAGGTTTTGTGGAAATATTTTTTCAATTAAAAAAAAAGCTTACCAAGTATTTAAGCCTGTGTTGAAATATATTTGTTCAGAAAAGGCTAATTTGGTGTTAGTTCTACTCTTGAGCTGACACTACTCTTGGGCTGCTTATCTCCTGGTACTGGGGTGGTAACTCACACTGGATTTGTATTCTTGAAGGCTGGATTCGTGGACAAACGCAGGTTGAATTCTAATTTGAAGACCACTTAGGGTTACAGCAGGTAGGGAGGCTTGGCCCCTGGAAGTAAACACCTGAGGCTTATTGGAAGAAATACCGTATTTTTTGCTCCATAAGACGCACCTTTCCATAAGATGCACCAATTTTTTAGGAGAAGAAAACAGGAAAATATAATCTGTTTTCTTTGCTCCATAAGACGCACAGACTTTCCACACACACACACACACACACACACACACACACACCGTTTTGTGGGGGGAAAGTGCGTCTTATGGTGCGAAAAATACGGTAGCTGCTGCTTTCTCACTCTTCAGAATGTGAAGGAAAGTGGCAGAACAACAGGAGGTGGGCAGAATGCGTATCTCTGGTCACCAGATAGCATCATATGAGGTTTCTTCTTCACCAGCAAACTTCTTTCCCGCCTCACTTGTTTGGGAGGGGCATGAAAGCTTGCCTGCTAGTTGACAAAGGAGATGGAGCAGGATGAGTGGAGTCTCTGGGGCTAGGATAGAGCCAGCTTACCAGTCCTCAACCTCAACTGTATGTGAATTACCTCTGCCTAGTTAGAAATAGCATAGCCTTTCATTGCAATATATGTGTCTTTTCTTAAGTTCTCTTTTCTTCTCTATATATTTCCACACAGAATCATTTATAGAGGAAGAAAATGTTCCTTCTGACATGCAGCCCTTTCCATCACTACAAAAAGTAAGTCATCATTCATTCCATCTAGGGCAGGATGAGTACAGACGACCCACGTGTGAGTCGCCCACCACTACCACAATTATGGACTACATAATTTGCTGCCACTGCAAGTCACTCAGGTTTTCATCACCACAGTACACAGCACAATGGTTGAAAAGTACTGTATTTTCTGCTCTTCTTACCCCAGCAAAACTGCCAAATCTGATCTTATGTTTTCTGTGCATTTTCCTTTCCCGTCCCTTCATTGCACCCAAGCTTGAAAGAGCCTCTAGATCAGGGGTTTTAAACTCAATTTCCCTGGGGGCCGCTAGAGGCAGAGTCTGGGTGAGGCTGAGCCGCATCAGATTTTCCGCCAAGCGGAGCAAGAGCCCGAGGAAGCCGCCCAGGAGTTTCCGTAGCCGACAGACAGGTGGGCTGGCTGGCAGGCTGCAGTTCTGGATGGAGGGGGCAAGAGGTGCTATCTTGGGAGAGAGCCGGCGAGTGAGGCAAGGCTTTTTTTTACTCTTGACAGCAGAGGATGTGTGGGCGCTTTGGGGGGGCAGGCAAGGCGAGGGCCACAAACTATCATCTGGGGGGCCGCAAATGGCCCCCGGGCCGCATGTTTGAGACCTCTGCGTGTAGATACTGCTTATTCTAACCGCACATACCCACCCCTCAAGCTGGAAGCACTGTCCTGTGCTCTGTGGTGCAGTTAACTAGAGTAATAATTGCTTGCCTTTGGTACATAGGGTAATTTTATATTTTTAAATGATGTGATTTCATGCATTAGAATATTTGTTGCTAAAAACAGGATTACCCAGCATGGTGAGTGGATAGAGTGACAGACTGGGACTCAGGAGACTTGGGTTTCAATCCCTGCTCAACCATGGAAAACTCACTGGGGGGGTTTGGAACTGGTAAAACCACTCCTTAAAACAGATTACAGGAATTGCCGAAGTTTCTATAAGTTTTTCCCCAGAGAGTGTGCAGATATAGAAATATCTGCATGTTCTTCCCTGTATTCATACAAATAAAATAGGCTTTTACAAATGAAAGCTATTCAGTCTTAAGGAAGGGAGTATCAAATAGCGTGATTTGTGACATTGTTTATTTTTACATTTTTTGTGAGACCTAATATAGCATAGAAAGCTCAACTAAATGAGCTTTTCTGTTTTTAGATGCATGCTGTGTTTGCCTTATGCTCTTTGTGGCCTGTATCTCTTTTGGAGAGAGGAAAAAGTCCTTGGCAGACTTGCTAATTGTCCATTTTACTTTGTCTGTGGCACACATTTGAAGGGCAGTCTGGCAGGTTTTGCAATATCTGCCTACAGTTCTCTTTTATGTTTTGGATAATGTGCTGCTGGTGCCACTAACCAAGGTGGAAACTAGGAACAGTCTCTAATAGATAAGAGTAATGTTGTAAATATAGGCCTGCTAGAATGTCATTTCCTTGCTTCCTTGATTAGGTTTTGCACGGGACATTTGCAGCTCACCAGAAATCTTGAAAGGCAGCTCTTATAGAGTCTGCATTTTTATTGAAAACCTAGGAAGTAACGATCATCACACCAGAATGTAGCACATGAGCACATTTTCTCCTGACCAATAGTAATGAATATCCCTAGTAACTCTGGATAATGTCAGTAATGTTTTTCCATCCAGGTACTAGAATCTATTCCTGAAGATGTTGGGTTTAATATAGAAATAAAATGGATCTGTCAGCAAAAGGTAATTTGTTTGTTTGTTTGTATCCAGCCTTTCTGCTCTAGAAGACCCAAGGTGGCATACAACATTAAAACAAAGTTTTTAAAAAAGCAAAGCAAAATATGCTGCTTACATATCACTCCTTAAGGCTTAAAGCACTCTCTGAGAGGTTTGCAATTTAATTATTCAGGATACACATTGCCCCCTCCAGCAAGCTACATACTCAATTTACTGACCTTGGAAGGATAAGTTGACCTTGAGCTGTCTACCTGATCCCGCTAAGATCAAACTCAGGTTGTGAGCAGAGTCTTCGCTGCAGTACTGCAGTTTAACCACTGCTCCACAAGGCTTTTCATAGCATCTAGTTTGTCAGCATATCTGGCATTCAGAAGAAACTCTACCCTTATATGAACATTCTTTTTAGCCTTTTAAAAGCTAATAAAAATCGCAATAAATTACTACAATATTTGAAAATAATCAGACATGAAGTTAAAAACTATTGGATAAAAAAGTTGAAACCCATTCTAGAACACATTATCACAGAGAGAGCAGCCCCATTTAACAATTTAATAAGGCAATTGACTATTTTCTTAACGTATACCTTAGCTTGTAATTTTGCATGAGGCAGGAACTGATCTGTTTCCTTTTTTCCACTGTAGAACCTGATTGTATTAGAGATTGTGTTTATTTTTTTTCTTTACCTCTTACATTTAATACAAATAAAACTGACTTGCTGAACTTTTCTAGCTCAATATTGTGTGGCCTGTATATCTGGGATTCAGTTCTTAAAATACATGTGTTCTGCTGATTTTACACAGCAGTGGAGATGTAAGAAATGAAGAAACCATGTAGAGTAGTCCAGACTTCTAATTAGATACAGTGGTGCCTCGCTTAGCGACATTAATTCGTTCCGCAAAAATCACTGCAGAACGAAAACATCGCTATGCGATATTAAAAAGCCCATAGAACCGCATTGAAACCCCTTCAATGCGTTCCTATGGGCTTAAAACTCACCGTTGAGCAAAGATCCTCCATAGTGCCGCCATTTGCGGTGCCTCTAAAGCAAGGAATCTGTCCCTAAACACAGCGGGCGGCCATGTTTTTTCCCCGGTGGCCATTTTGAAACTGCCAATCAGCTGTGCGAAAATGGGGGCTTTGCGGCGATCGCTTCCCTGCGATCATCGCAAAGCGAAAATACCCCATAGAGAACATCGCAAAGCGATCGCTTTTGCGATCGCAAAAATGCATCACTAAGCAATTTCTTCGCTAAACGGAGCGATCGCTAAGCGAGGCACCACTGTATATAGAACCAAACAGGTGCCAAAGTTTGGTGAGGACAAATTACAGCTTGCTAATATTATTTTTTGAAGAAAGTGGAATTGTGGAAAATGACCTGGAGCACACATGGTTCTGCATGTATGCACACATAAGAAAACATTTTGTTTGAGGAATTATTTTTTTAAAATACTGCCATCTATAAAGCCACTTGATATAAAGGTAGTTTTTCTTCCCAATACCAGATATGCTGACCAGCCGGATGCTATGTGAAAAACATGATGCCTATATACATTGGAAGCATTTATTGAATACTGTGTAACATTTTTGTGTTCTGGAGAAAGAGAGATGTTCCCCCAAGTTCAGTTTTTGCTTTCTCCGCTGAATTGACAGATCAGTAGTGCTGCAGTAAGTCATCAACATGACGTGTTTGTAATGAAGAATAGTTTGCTTCTTATGGTGAATCTGAAAAAACGTTAAGGTGTAAGACTATGACTTAAATTGCAAACAGCAGCCATCTTTGATAGTGTTTAATCATCTTTAAAATTGTGGCTTTTTGTGTGTTTACAGGATGGTTTGTGGGATGGCAACCTTTCAACCTACTTTGACATGAACCTCTACCTAGATATAATTTTGAAAACTGTTTTTCTCAAGGCTGGAAATAGGAGGATCGTATTTTCTTCATTTGATGCAGACATATGCACAATGTGAGCTAATGGAAATACTCCCCAATATCATTTTAGAGAGGTGTATTTTTAATGTGTGGTACACATGTATTTATATTCATAGCCCCAAATTCTCTTGTACAATTTATGCAGGTGGTATAATTGTTGGAGGCAAATTGTCTCAAGTTAAGAAATCTCTGTAGACATTACTGTTGTTTGTTGAGTCATGCAATTGATACTGTCTACAAGGATTTTTTAACATGAGGCAGTTTGCCACCCAGTTTATGTTGTTTGCATCATGCAGGCATAACTAGGCAAGAGGATTTTGGCCACAGAGTTTGTAGTAATCTAGTTGCATGGCAGGGTTTATATTTTACCGAAAATATTAAGAGATATTGATCCGACTTGATTTGGTATTTTCTTTGTTAGCCTGCACCTCAGGAATGTCCACATGTTGCTATTCATTAAAAGCCTGAAGTGGTACGAGTCCAGTTTCACACCTTCAGAACTCACTGTGGAGTTCTGCTGCCACACTGTGCTGGCTTGAAATGCATTTTTCCAAGTTTGCTAATAGAATTCAGTGACAAATTGCTTCAAGCTATTTAAAGCAAGCAAATGGTTGCATGAAATTGGGTTGTCTGAAATTTTCACCGTTTGCAAGCCAAATTTGTCTGGCATGATTTTCAGGGGCAAGTTGTGAGAATTGTCTAACTATGATGTAAAATACATAGCAGTGGTGGGACTCCTTGTCAGTTAAAATGGTGGGAAGCATAATCATTGTGTTTGCATATCAAAATAAACTATCATGTAGCTTGTTGAAATCTGGATTTTGATCTGCTGTCCTGCCTCTGCTAAGAAGCCATGACTGTTAATGGCCACATATCAAAATAGAAACCCAGAGTTTGTTAACTTAGAACCCCTAACTTGTTTAAACCATAGCTTGTTTCCTCAGCTTCTCACCCTGAAAGAGGAGCTAATAAAAGTGGCAAAAGAGAAACAATAAAGAAATGGAGAGGAAAAGCCATGGTTTGATTTGGCTGTTTGCTGTGCTATTCATACAGAAGCAACAAAATAATGCTGTTTATTGTGCATTTGTGAAAATGTGCTCATTAGTTCAGTAAATGAGAACTAGAGTCACTGCGGAAGCAATATTCTGGCAGCTGCAGTTTCCTTTCAGGCTTCTACTTCAGGCAAGCAGTTTTCAGCATAAAACGCTACCTGCTCTTCATCACAGCAAGCATGAAATTTACAAAGAAATAATGCATGCATTACATAGGAACACTGCCGCCGCATGTCAATGCAAGTAGACAAATGCTGTGCTTGCACTTCTTATGAGACAGTAATGGAGATATTTGACAGTGGTCATGGTTTGCATTCAGTCTCCTATAATCTTTTTGCATAGAATGTTTTGTAAATGAAGAATTACTTCTCCATGGAGAACAAGGGAAGATCAGATGACATTCATAGTTCTTTTTCAGTTTTCTAAGCAGATTAATGTTACATAGGAATTCCATGGCCATTTCTGTGAGGTTAATTTACACTATTTAATAATATTATCGTTTGCAAGTTAATTAATTATTTCAAGGCAAATGTAAGGATTTTTGCATCTTAGAGCAACACCGAATGCTTTAAAAATGTTTATCATTGTATTTTTCCTACGAAAGTTGTAACTTAGTTCAAATTTTCTTACAGGGTCAGGCAGAAACAAAATAAATATCCCATATTATTTCTAACTCAAGGACAATGTGAAGCCTACCCAGAACTCATGGATCTCAGATGCCGTACAACAGCAATTGCCACAAGTTTTGCAGTGTTTGAAAATCTGCTGGTAAGTTAAATAGTCTGGATAATTGATTGGTAACTGATTTCCAAAATGAGACCATTCAGCTAAATCATTTTTCTTGTTACCGTCAAAATCTCCATAGTGCCTTGTAACCTGTTAATGTGAATTATGTATTACCATGAAAAACTGATCTTTGTACTGCTAATGTCTCAGATCTATGCTTAATGTTCTGTATTCTTTTTTCAGGGAATTAATGCACATACTGAAGAATTGCTAAACCATCCCTCATTTATAGAAGATGCCATATCTAAAGGTTTAGTTGTGTTTTGTTGGGGTGATGAAGCAAATGATCCAGACAACAGGAAGAAACTGAGGGAATTTGGGGTTCATGGTCTGGTATATGACAGGTATTACAATATTTTAATACATATATATATAATTGGTAGTGAACATTTAGCTGTGTGTTCAAATGCAAACTAAAGACTGAAGTAAGAGCTTCACAAATCTTTTCATCAACTTACCTTTTTACTGTAAGCCGCCCAAAGTAGACGTAGTCTAGATGGGCGGGATACAAATCTAATAAATAAATAAATTATCATTTGGTAATGGAAATGGTGTGGGGTTTCCCACTCAGCATCCTGAACAAGAGCCCATCCCAGTCAGGAGATTCCGTCTGGTACATGATGGAACAGTATAGAGGCGACTGGGCATTCTTTGGCTGAGAGAATGGGTGAAGGGAAGGAATTCAAAGAAGGCTATAGTTTGAGAGTAGAGGAGCAGGTTGCCCTTTGAAATGACACACCTTCCTCTGAGAGATTCACAGGAGAATTTTGTGATGCCTCTTTAGCATGCACCATTTAGGAAGGATGGTTGCTTCATTCCAAAACTCCATTTCACAGCTAACTTTAAAATCAAAATTCACTGGTATTGTAATGTTCTTTTAGCTGTCATCAGTAACTTATTTAGAGCAGTTAGCTGCTTCATATTTGGGAGGCTGCAAAAACATTATCATGAAATCATGCTATTTGCTATAACAGTAAACTTAAATTCTGATTGAATCCAGATCAAGAAGCTGTCTATATGGGAAGTACGCCTTAAATACTTAACATTTCTAGAGAGAGAATATTCAAAATTCTTAACCTAATTTAACCTGTAAGGCAGTTCCACCTGTTCCCATACTGTATGGACATGGGTGTGACTGTGGGACAATGGTTTGCCTAAGGCCAGGCTAGCAGCTTCATGGGAGACCAAAATTTGAACCATGATCTTTGTGGTTTTTGGTCCTGTCTATATGCTACTATGTTATATTGAAAGAGCTTATTTATCTTTTAGGTCTGATTGTCTCTACCGTTAGTTGTGAGACAGTGCTTCCTAGGGAGAATCAAGGACGATTAAGCTTTTCAGTTATCCACTGTTAGCAGAACTGGTTGCATCACTGTGTGGAAAGTCAGCTTTGACTTTCAAGCAATAATGATTTGTACAGTGGGGAATAATTAAGTCTTAAGTCTTTCAAGTTATATAATGTGCCTTTTACATCCGTTCCTGAATGCACATTGCGTTTTTAGCTCTTCCCCTTACTGACTATGTTCTTTGGGGCCAAGGAAAGATGTTGTAAACTATCTTTCTTGGACATTCTCAGAGATATTATTCTAGAAGGGACGCTTGGTTACCTTTCTTTGATCCATTTGGCCAGCAGATAATCTTGCTTCTGAAGCATGATTGTTAAAAAGTGTCATTTAAACTGGATTGGGATATGACTGGTTTAAAGAGTTGGAATGCTGTGCCTTCTGTGACAAATATTTTGGTAATGTTTGGCTTGCAGAGCCCCTGCTTGTAATACTTTATAAAGTTTCTGTAGTGCCTTTTGTTGTCAGAACAAGCAGACAACATAAAATGCTAACACCAATCTACAATTACAGTGCTATTAATAGTCATTTTGCCTATGAAGTCTCAACAAGTGTGACAATCTGTATTATGAAGAAATGGTTTGGAATCAACTTTTAACAAGAATTCTAGCAGTAACTATAGGCAAAAATTGAAATTTTAAAAGGATATGGATTAACTTGATTTTCCATTCATGCATATGGAATTGGCAGTCTGCTGTGATCTGTTTGGCCTGTAAACTGCATAAGCTCAGACAGTATAGCCACTGAATAGGGATTATGGGGGTTGTTATTAAAAGCATCTGGAGGATAATAGGTTGCCCATCCCAGCATTAGGTTGATTTCCACAACTTCTGCATCACAAAATAATAAAGAGTCTAGCTAAATTAATATGTTGGCTGTTACTACTTGATAATGTAGGTATTCTCAGAGATATACCCTCTCTGTCCACACTGAAACACTAGTATTTTGCTAAATGTTTACAGCTAAACCAGTTGTTTTATCTTTGTTGGGCTGTGAGAAGCATATCAATGCCTGGAAGTTGTATTAACACACAAGACGTATGTCAACACCAGTCAAATAAAACCAGCATTGAGAATGACAGTCTGCTCCAATGGGCTGGAAACAGGCTGGAAAACATTCCTTACGCATAGCTGTTTAGAGCTACTAATGAAGCCACCTTCTAATTTGATACTTCACATTGTTGGTTAAAGTTGGGTAGTCAATATTGTATGACAATCTTGGTTAGAGTTAAAAGTAAATTATTATTATTTTGGGATGGATGTGTTTGTGTGTGTTTAGTTAGAATCACCATGTGTACAGGAAGCCCTGCCTTTAGTCTGACATTTCCTTTAGCACTGAGAACATAGGGCTGAATTTGGTTAGACAGCATGTAATAGCATAAACAATGCTGCGATTAACCAAACAGCTATGGTTCCTCAGAAAAAGATTCAAATAGGAGATGGAAAAAGGCAACATGGTCTCAAAGCTAAAAGGAGAAATGCTGGCTGTAGATTCTTAGGAACATCCATAAAACAATGCTGCGATTAACCAAATAGCTATGGTTCTTCAGAAAAAGATTCAAATAGGGGATGGAAAAAGGCAACATGGTTTCAAAGCTAAAAGGAGAAATCCTGGCTGTAGATTCTTAGGAACATCCATAAAAAAGAGATTGAAGCAGGGACTTAGCTCCCTAAGTGACAGTGAAATTTAAGGCCAAATGGAAATGGAAGAAATTGGGAAGCTTAGCTCTGCTGTCAGTCAGGATCCTATCAGAAACTAGAAATTGCAGTGTGGGACGCTTTATTGGCGTCTCACACTGCAATTTCTTATTGAAGAAAGGAGAAGGAAGGGAAGGAGGAGCACACATGCTAGATCACTAAATTCAAAGTAGTGACTTTCCTTCAGCTGGCAAATTTCCAAATAATCAATGCTGTTTTTATTATGGGATAACACAGCTGAGAAAAAGAATTCCAATCCACAACTGCTTGGCACATGACAAGATATAATTTTTAGTTTAAATTGGCTAATGCTGAGCATGGAGTCAGCAGAGGGAAGCTAACATTTTTCACATTTTAGATACGGATTCCCAGTCAGTCAGCTCTGTGTGTGTAGAACCTACGTACAGTGGTGCCTCGCTTAACGAGCGCACCGTTTAACAACGAATCCGCATAGCGATGTTTTTGCGATCGCATTGCAATGTTTTGGATAGGGAAAACATCGCATTGCGATGATCGGTAAGCATTTCGCTTACTGATCTTTGCATTGTGATGTTAGGGAAACAGCTGATCGGCGGTTCCAAAATGGCTGCTGGGTGCAGAAAATGGCGACCCGTAGCGTTTTCACGCCCTGCCCTCGCTTACCAAGGTGGCGAAAATGACGGCCGGATGGGAAATCTTCGCTTACCGGTGCGTTCCCCCCCCTAGGAACGCATTAAATGGAGTTTAATGTGTTCCTATGGGGTTTTCCTTTCCATATAGCATTGTTTCCAGATAGCGGAACGGAACAGATTAACATCGCTATGCAGGGCACCACTGTACTTTGAATGGGACCAGAAACAATGTTATCACTTGCACTGAATCGTAAGATGCTGCAAGAAAGAAACCCAGGCCTATCAATGGTTGGTTGCAGTGTCATAGTACCTGCAAGTGCTTGAATTCAGAATGAGTGGGTAGACAGCAAGACACCCTTTCCATTCTTAATGGCAAAAGAGAGTATGTGCAGATTGGTTAATTCTTGCCCAAACTGCAGCTTCCTCAGTAGAACTATTCATAGCAATATTATAGTCTTTGCGGCAGTTGGTGGAGCCTCCAGATGACCATAAAACCCCTTCTGAAATTTGTGCACTGGGACAACATTTCGGTCTGGGTGAGCAAAAGAGAGAGCTGTTAATCAGGGATGGAGAACATTTCTCCCTCCTGATGTTGGTGGATTGCATTCCCCATTGTCTTTGACTATACAGACTAGGGTTGATCAGAGCTGTACCTGAATAACATTTGGAAATCCATACCCATGTCCTGTAGCTAATTAATAGTTGTGAGGCATTGATAGTGACCTAAAGCAGATGTGTGGAACATGTGGCCCCTCCAGATTTTGGACTGCCAACTCCCATCATCTCCAACCATCTCATGGCCTGTGATCAGGGATAATGGGAACAGCAGTTCAACAACTGTAAAGCTACAAGTTCTTCACACCTGCTCTCAAATCAATCACCTGTAAGATCTGTAGGCAAGTAACTAGTATAGTCAGTCCTTCACACATGGGTTCCCTCTTCCTCTAGACCTTCACCTGATCTTCACCTTCCAAATGATGTGACAGGTTTGTACTTGTTCTCTAGAATGCCTTTTAAAAAGTACATAATCAGTCCACAGTGGGATAATAATGCTTTCTTCTGCTTAGCTTTAAAAATCCATTTTGAGATTTTGGAATGCTTTTGGCTTGAAAACAGAGCATAAAGTATTTTCTTTGGGCCCTTAATATACTTTAAAAGAATTGAATTGTAAAGCATGGTGTTAAATTAATACAGAATGTTTGTTGATGCATGTTTAACACAGTATGGTCTTCTTAATGCCTGGATATCCCAGATGTTGACAGCGTCAATGGCCTGTTCTTTACTCTCTCTGTTGCATAAAAACATTTAACTAGTGACATGTAAATCAGGGATGGCGAAGATCTGATGGCTCTGGAGCCAAATGCAAGTTTCTCCCCCAGCAGGGTGAATTAAGCCTAAAAATGGCCCAAGACAACGGTTTTTTAAAGGGGGGGGGGATTAAACAGAAGTGCTCAGACCAGTAATGCCAGTCCTATAACATTTTCTTGCCTAGGATGGATGCAAAGGGTAAATAACTTGAGCATGAAGTGTTGTGACTGCTTATGTGTGCAGTAGCAATAATATGAGAAATAAGTGCCAATCTGGCACTTCTGCTTTGATTTGGTGCATTTTGGGGGGGGGGGAAGAGTAGTCTTGGGAGAATCTCCCTAGACTCAGGGGTAGAAAGCGACTGCTTTGGAGGTTTATGGGAAGTCTCCACAAAAAATGCCCTCTGTTGCCACAGGCGGCTTTTAGAGGCCATAGTTCGCCCACCCCTGAACTTGATGCTGAATATCTTATACTGTATTTTCAATTATTGCTATACGATACACAACATGTCATGTTCAGGTTATTTACCCTTTACATTCATCCTAAACAAGAAAATATTAAAGTACTGGCATTGAACTTTAGTGAGAGGTCTCAGATAACACTTTGCTGTAGTAAGATGGCTTTGCATTAATTAAACTCTTGTATTTATGTGATTTTCTTAGGATTTATGACTGGATGCCTGAACAGCCAAATATATTCCAGACAGAGCAACTAGAACGGCTGAAGGAGGAAGTACCAGAGTTGAAAAGCTGTGTGTGTCCCACAGTTAGCCATTTTAGTAGCATTGGTCTGTGTAAGTGTCATAGTAGTCCCATAAGAGCAAGAATGGCCGAAAGTACAAGCAGTTTCTAGCAGACATTATGAGAAGAACCAATACTATTTAATGTGTGCATCCAGTTCTTTCCACTGAACAATGCTAGCAATGCCTCACTGTTCTTGCAACTAAATGAAGCAATAACTCATGGTCCACTGCAGAATATTACAAGCCATTGCTAGATTGTCAAACACTGCTAAAACGCTTGGTCAGTTGTAATCATTCTTCTGCTCTGCCTGGAGCTCCTGTATGTTCTAAACCGACCACCATAAGATGAAATCTATGAACTGTTAACATACACACCTGGTTTCTGAGCAATCTGAAGTGCAATCATTGCTGAAGTTGCTAGCATCTAAATTGCCAAATATCATTGTTTAATTGATTCAGCTGCAGTACTAGTGGAGAAGATTGTATATCATATAGATTTTTCATTTAGTCTGAGGAAAAGGTACCTCAAGTGCATACGTTTGCACTGATGCATGCATCTGTACAAACATGTGTGCCATTTCATTGCAAAAGAGTGCAATTAGGCCTCTCTCTTTTTTCATTTCCACTTTCAGGCTGTTACTGCCTTGTATTTATTTTGCCAGATACAATGGTGTTCTCTCTGCCTAGCAGCCGATAGATAGGTGAATAAAACCATTTCTCCACCATGTTTGTACCTGAATTTTTTCTGAAGCTCAGAATGTTGCAAATCAGTATAAGCCAAATTGCCAGTCTTGACTGTAAGTTTTTCAAAAATGTATCATTGTTCTCAAATATTAAATGAACAGCTGTACAATACAAAGCCAGTAAATGCTAAGCATGACGCTTTGGATGTTCACAGCAGTCCTTGTGCTCTTGTGGTGCTATATGGTGCAAGAGCGACAAGGGCTGGGGGAAAAAAAGCTTAAATCTTTGCTGAAAAAACCACAAGCCTCCATGTGTCAATAGCTACATGAGGTTTTATCACCTCATTTTTTTAATTTCTAGCCACTAGCAGATATGTTTTACAAAGAAAACTACTCACGTTTGATTCTCAGAATGTAATAGGGTCTCAATCTTTTAAAGACTGGCTAATGTTCACTGTGTATAACTTATTCAGAAATTATGATATTTTGTCATGTATGTATGCTTGCATGTTGTTCAATCCATACCTCTCTACAATAGCAGGTAATGAGACATAATTACCTGTAGCTTTTTACTGAAGTGTTAAATGTGTAATAAAAACGTTAAAAATATATTTATTTTTTTTTCCTGCTATTGCAAATCAGCAAAGGAAACAATATGATTCGAATCTTGTCACTGCTGTACAAAGCTAATTATATGAACCTTTAATAAATGCAAGTCTGTAAATGGTTTTTGGTCTGTACTACTGAATTGTTCGCAGCAACTGGTTTATCTCCTTTTGCTTTGTATTGAAATTACTCTTGTCCTCCACAAACAGCACAGTCTCTGGGAACGATTCTTACTTTAAAAATAAAATGTGTTTTGTAACTAAATCCAACTTCATTCTGCTTTTAATGTCTTTGTGACGGCTGAGAATGCATATACGTCTGTGAGAGGGTGGAGAGGAGGCAGAAATGGGAGGAAATGAAGGGTCTAATACCCCTTTGCCTAGTTTTCAGTTGTGAGCTTACAGTTTTTAAACACTCACCCACTAGAACATAATTCATTTAAAAGTTAAATGTAAATAGTCTAGTTCTCATACACTGTAGAAGAAATGTATACAACATTCTCAAATTGTAGTATCTGTTTTGCTGTCATTATACTCTGCTGTCTAATAATGCACCATTATTATTGTGAATGGCACAATTATCAGGAGCAATGTAATGCCAGTACCATGTTTCCCTGAAAATAAGACAGGGTTTTATATAAATTTTTGCTCCAAAAAACACGGTAGGGTTTATTTTCAGGGGATTTTTTTTCATGTAAAACAATATACATTTATTCAGTTACAGTCATGTCATCTTCTGGTTGCTGCACAATGGTGGAGGGTGGGGTTTCACTTAACAGGGACTTATTTTTGGGATAGGGCTTATATTACGAGCATCCTAAAAAATCATACTAGGGCTTATTTTGAGGTTAGGTCTTATTTTCTGGGAAACAGGGTATGTTGGCATCTTGCCTTCTACAAAGCCACACAGACTCAGCCAGCCGTGTTTCCTCTGTGCCTTTCCATTGAAAGGGCACGCGGGGCAGATGGTCCTCCAAATGGTGTTCCACTGCAGTCCCCATCATTCTTCACCATTGGGTGGGTTGCCTAAGATTGATGGGAGTTGTAGCCTAGCAACAGTCCAGTTGTCCCATCCCTCCTCCTATGACATCATACTTGCCAAACAATGCTGTTAAGGTAGAGGACATCATAGCTGCTTCATGGAATGTACTCATTTCTAACCAACTGTCAAAAGTGCACGATGCAACTGCCATCTTATTGCTTGGATTCAAAGTTTCATTCAGCTGACAGTTGAGGTAGGTAGGTAGTTGATTGGGAGTTAATTGATTTCCTAGTACATATATGTGTGTGTGAAACACTGCTAGGTAAGAGAGTAGTTGTAATAACATTTTGTGAAAAATGTTCTCTGTATTCAGGATATATATATCCATGAATCCTAATATTGAGTGGAACCTAGAAAAGTTACATTTTACGACTATAACTGTCAAAATTGTCAACAAACAAAGAATAACCATGGGTATTTTCCAGTCCCTAAAAATGGTGCCGAATTCTGATCTGGGACAAAAAACCCCACCAAAAATGTGGAGAGATTCTTGACCTTTTAAGGAGCTACCTGCCTCTTTACAAGCATTTCCTTCCAGACCACAAGGAAGGAGAAAAGGAAGAAGGCATGGTTTTCTAAACTCTCCTGTGTGAATGTTGCTCTTACAGTTTGTTTCACCTCTGATGTCCACATTCTTTCTTCTCAGTTGACTATTTAACCATCAGGTTTCAAAAATATTTAGGAGTGTTGAGTCTTCGATAAAGCCTAGTAGATAGAGCTTATTTATTGATTGATTGATTTGATTTGATTTGATTTGATTTGTTGGCACCTGAAATTCATGGCAAGAAAAGATCTTAGGATAACATGTTTTAAGAAATTGTATAATCATCGTACTTTGCTTGATCATAATCAGGAGAGATGTTTGTGTAGCTTTCTTAATAGCATGTCTCCTGATGCTGTTGCAGTGGTGCCTTGCATAGTGACGTTAATCCGTGCAGCAAAAACCTCTTCTCTCGACCCTTGCCCGGCCTGGCTAATCAAAGCAGCCAGGCCTGTAACAACTGAATGGGCCACCGCAATAATTAATGGGTCACTCCAGGAGGGCAAGGTTCCCCTTGCCTTCAAGGAGACACTCATTATGCCCATTAGGAAGAAACCAAATTTGGCGACGGACGATATTGGCAATTATAGGCCCGTCGCCAATGTTTCTTTCCTCAGCAAGGTGGTTGAGAGGGTGGTGGCAGATCAGCTCCAGGCGCTCTTGGACGAAACCAATGCTCTGGACCCATTCCAG